AATATTTTGGCCCCCCCCCCCCCTTTTCTGTTGTCTTTTACATATGTTTGCATTTTGCAATAGTTTTTTTTGTTTTTGTTTTCATTTTTGTCCTGGCATTTTAGCCCTATAAATAGCAAATAGTATTTTCATTCGTTTGTTTCCATAAAGGCAAAGGCGCTTCGAGTGAACTCCCCCTTTTACTCCCTGCTGGGTCACAGCAGCTTTTTCCTGCCCTGTCCAGCCTCTCCCTGTGGACAAGCACCCTTCACTCCCGACCCACAAGGGGAGCAGGGTGCAGGGATAGCACAGAGGGGTGCAGGGAACAGTGGGGGGAGAGGTACGGGGGTGGTGTGGGGAATGGGAGTCAGAGCCAGAGGAACACAGGGATTGGGAGGAGCAGGGTACGGTGGAGGCACGAGTAATGGGATGTGGGGAGTGGGAGGGGCAGAGGGATCAGGGTCTAGGGGCGGTGCAGGGAATGGGCAGCACAGAGCTGAGGGAGCAGGGAGGGGGGGTGCAAGGGCGGTGCAGAGCCAAAGGGTTGGGTTGCAGGGAAGAGGTATAGCAGGGGATTCGGGGTACAGGAGAGGAGGGGCGGCGTGGGGAACAGGCGGCAGGGAGACAAAGGGGGGCTGGGGCCATGGCAGAACTGGAGCCGGCAGGGCAGGCCCTGGCTGTGCCGCGCGCCGCAGCCAGCAGCCAGAGCTGAGCTGCCGCAGCCCTTCAAAATTAACGGGGCCATGTCCTGCCAGCGTCCTGGCGCCCCGCCCCGCCCCGCCTCCTTGCACCGGAGCTGCATGCAGCCCTGTGGAAAGAATCACCGCACTTCCCCCTTCCCAGCGGGGCTCTGCTCCTCCGGCCTGCTGGCAGATAGGATGGGGCCGCGCCACCCATAGTGCGGGCTTCTGCCAGCCCGTCACAACGGCCCACCGTGGCAGTCCGCCCATGCACTCGCTAGCTGGTAAAATCTACCCGCCACGAGCGAGCAGGCGAGTGTATTTGTCGAGCCCTTCAAACGAGTATCTTGAGGACAGAATTTGGCCTTCACTTTTTACAGTTATTCTGAACTGTATACCTCAAACAATAGTGTGAATAGCCCTATTAAACTTGAAAAGATTGCATAGCAAGGAAGAATGGTCTTAAAACTTTCTAAAAATTCTGCTAATCAAAATACTTTATACTCTTTTTCATAAGACCAAGTAAAAAAGTTGGCACGAGAGATTGTCCAAGACTTCATTCTTGATGAAAGTACATTTTTTCATTAAAAATTGTATTGGACAAAGTGGCATACATGTGACCATAAAATAGCATAAGCAGTTGTTCCAAAATTTTATATTCAGCTGGTTTGTTTTGCTCATCTTCCTCAAGGACATGTGCAATGAATTGTCATTAATATTTCTAAAAATTTGGCCAAAACAAAAATAAAAGGGTTACCCTGAAGGATATTACATTTACTTACACCGTATATTTTATGGTGTCGTATGCAATCTGACTTAAAATTATAATTCCCAGCTATTAGCTGCTAGTGCCTGGTAGGGATGTTAACGAGTAGTTGACTAACTGATAAACCTAGGCTTATCAGTAAATCTAGTCAACTAATCACATTCCCCCCTCCTCCCCCGCTGCCTTTGTTTCTTAAAAGCTGATTCCCCCCAGCACCAGCACTGTGGTGCCAGCTGTCTCCCCCACTTCGCGCTGCTTCCTTTATCAGAGGCAGCAATGGGGGAGGGAGGCGGGGGAAACCGGGGAGGCTGCTCCAGTAGCAGCCCGTGTCTGCAGGAGTTCCCAGCTCCTTGCTTGGGCCCCCAGTGGACAGGGTCTGCTGGACCTAGAGCAAGACAGGCCAGAGTAAGCCCGGCTCAGTCCCAGCTTGTGCTGGTCCAGAAGCTAATCGAACTGCAGCTCTGCATTTTAAATGAAGTAAGAGCCCGGCAGTCTGGCAGCCCCGCTCTTACTATATTTAAATCGAAGAGCTGCAGCGGCGGTAGGTCCAAGACCTGGCATAAGCCGGGACTGAGCACCTTTGCTTATAGGCTAATTGTGTAGTAGATAGAATTTTTATCAACTATACAATTAGTGAAATACCCACTTCTTAACATAGCTAGTACCTGGTATATAAACTTGATTCAGCAAGGTACATAAGTATGTGTTAACTTTGAACAGGTCAGTTGTCCCACTGATTTCAGAGAGTCCATTTCAGAGAGTCCCACTGATTTCAGCTAACTTCCCTTGCTGACTCAGTCTATTTTGATACTTTTTCGGACAAAATTAAATATTGGAAAGATGGCTTCAAGTATTACTGCATACGCTTTGAGAGTTATAAACTTTCTAGTTAGATCTCTGACTTCTTCATAAGGTCTCACTGGTATGTCCCATTTAAAATGGTTAGCTCATATCCCTTTTTCAGATACTGTGCCCGTTTGCTGCCAAAAAGACTAAAACATGGCCATGTATCTAGAGTGTGTCTGATATCCTCTTGTCTCTTGCTCTAAAGTTGGAAGCCTTAATTTTTTTAAAAAGCAAGATTTTTAATTAAAGTTTTTGTCTTTTCTCAATCTTGGGATCTTTATTCCTCCCTCCTCCCAAATGACAGTTGTTTAAGCAAGTTGCCTTTGGGGAAAGATGAGTAGCTTCCTGAAAATTTCACACCAACACTTTCACGAGTGTAGGTATTTGGTGGACATACCAACAGAATGTGGTGTATATTTCCTATTGGCTTTGGGAATCAATCTCAAATTGAAGCCCAATTCTCCCCGTGTTCAACACAGTGCATTGTTCTATTGCCCCAGGACATGGGTAAACCCCATTTGTTTTTTTCAACTTATCATAGAACTGCTGTATCTTTCAGTGTTTGACATGATATTTCTTAAAACTGATTCTTTGTGTGTGAAGTTAATTGTTCATGAGACAAATTAATTGTGCCAGTATTTGAAACAGTGTTTTTTTATTTTTTGTAGAACCAAAATCACAGTCTCATCCACAGCATCAGATACAACACAGAATGCTGAATACAGAGCAGAATGGCATAAAAGACTACAGCCATCCAAGATACCTTCCTCGAAATGATATTAGACAGCCAAGAAATGAGAAACCCCCTCGTTTTCAAAGGGACAGTCAGAATTCAAGACAGGTTTTGGAAGGTAGTGGGTTACCAAGAAACAGAGGTCCTGAAAAACACAGCTCCTTAGGACCAGAGCAATGGACTGAAGATAAAAATAAGTGTGATAGACCTTATCCAAGAAATGATAGGCTAAAGGATATTGGTTATCCCGCAGCCTCTCACCAGAGTGATTTTTCTTTTAAAAAGAGGGATAATGCTATGCAGAGCAGACTAGGAAAAGGGGTTTCATTCATGGAACTGAGTGAGAATTCTAGTATTCAAGATACCACAGATGACAATAATCAGAAACGAGGGAAGAAGGAAAACCAAATACATAGTCCTGATAATTTTTATGACATGAAAACACGAACAATAAGTAATGAAACTTTCAGTTTAAAAAATGAGCAACGTTTTGTTATGAATAGTGACTACCAGAATCCTGTTAGAACTGATAATTTTAATGCTTTACCAAATGGAGATACTGAACATCTACAGAAAGGAAGACGAGTAGGACCTATTAAATCACCAGGACCCAGTGTTGCTGCACCTTTTGAACACAAATTGTTGTATTATAATGCTGGTCCCAAAAGGAGATCTGGGCCCATCAAACCAGAAAAAATACTGGAACCATCTGTTCCCATGGAGTATGGAAAAAGCTGGAGACCAGGGGATGAATGTTTTGCTCTTTACTGGGAAGACAACAAGGTATGCCCTACTTAAGTAGGAAATACAGTAAATTGTATCTTTAAAAACAAAGGGAGGGGAGGGGGCTTAAATGTATTCCCACAGAAAGAGGAAATGAGTGTGTAATCTCTTAACTTGAACTGGTATCTTGTTACCTAGGGCTGCATATGTGAGATACATGACACACTAAGTTTTAGGGAATGGAAGCCAAATTCCTTGCTCTCCAGAGTGGTCTGTATGGTGAACAAATGATATTTTTTACTAATTTTAAGACCCTGTGGTCATGAAATTGACCAGACCAAATTGAACTGTGAATTTGGTAACACCTTATCCTATCTCTGTTGCCATCCCATTCTTTTGGTTTTTTAATCTCCTGTCTCTCCACTCCCCCTATTTTTTTCATAATCTGAAACTACATTAAATTGTGGTGAGGGTTTGTTTGTTGATCCAACAGCTAATATTTCTAATTATTTAATGTGTCTGGTTTTTTATCAGATGTGATTTGTATTATTTTATTATTTTAAGCAGTCATTCAGCTGTATAAATGTTCATAGTGGAAGTGGCTAGGTCAGTTTTGGAAATGTTTTTTTTTCTTTTAAACAAAGGAGCAATTAAGAGTTTTTTGTTTGTTTAATTTTTCATCTGCCTCTGTTTATATGACTCGGATAAAATGGTCACCTGCATATACAAATGTTTATAGTCATGAGAACAGATTAATGAAAGGGCTTTATCTTTCCAATATATGTGCATGAATGGAATCAGTATATATGTATCAGGTACATTCATGTATGGATTGATTTTTTTTATAAAAATAGTTTAATTTTTGTGTGATGCTTGAATTGCTGGGTTGTGGATAGTGAGGAACTCACAATAATGACATAAAATGTGCTGATCAAGAACATTAATTCATTGCTTTCTGCTAATATTGTATTCTTCGTGAAAATTAGCTACTATAAATGTATTGATAGTTACGGACTGATTTATGCCTGTGCAGTCTCCAGGTTCTGTAGCTAAGTGGTCAAGAGCAGTGGTGATAGTGGTGATTGTAATTGCTATAAAAATAATTATTTCTTCCATCTTCAACTCTATAAAGAGTGGTAGCATATTCTCTACAGATTTGTTTCAGTCTGTAGGCTATCTGAAGATAGACTGTAGACAATTTTATACAAGACTGATGCAGGCTAGGGAGGATTAATTTAAATGAACTAATTTGAACATGTTTCAGTTTAGCTCTGTATGGAAGAAAAAGGTCGATGTTAGTTTGGCTCACCCCTGCTCTAAATCTCCTTTAAGATCCTTGCAGAAATTAAATAAGTGTATGCATCCAAATTTCTTGTTTACTTGGAGTTAGAAAAATGGATCCCTACTCTCCTTCTTTAAATCCTCCTAGAAGGTAAAATAGTTCTCATTTTGATACCACTTTTATGTCTCTGATAATGCCATGATGTCTTCCCTGTATATTGAACCCCAAATTACTTAGGCATTCTATTGATTTAGAAATGCTCACACATTTTTGTAATAGCCTGAATATGTTCTGAGTAACATTTCAAAATGCATTAGCTCAGTCTACTCACTTTCTTTATTCCATTGTCTAAATATGTCCATGTAATCATGGACATGTACATTTGTATTTTGCTTTAAACTGACACAAGTTTCTAATCTATGAATATCTGGTACAAAAATTTTTAAAAATATAATAAATTTTAAATGGTTTAAAATACAATCTTTTAAAATGTTTTTATTTTCTTTCAGTATTTAATCCAATATTTTATGACCTTTTGAAATTTCTCTTTAAGTTTTACCGGGCAGAAATTGAAGCTCTTCATTCTTCTGGAACAACTGCAGTTGTTAAATTCTGTGATTATGGAAACTATGAAGAGGTGCTACTAAGCAACATCAGGCCAATTCACGCAGAGGCATGGGTATGTGATAACAAATTGTATACAAAGATATAATCTACATTATTTGTATAAAATATGTAGCTTTCAACACATGAGTGCTGCAAAGGGTATACATGTAAAAGAACTGTGTAGAAAAATACTTTAAAACTGAATAGATCTGCCTTAGTTACTTAAATAAACACTCCATAATAATAGGAAAGAATCCTGTGGTATTATTTTTCATGTATAATAAAATTAAATTGTATTCTTTTGAAAATGGATACCATTATTAACTTGTTAGAGAAACAATGATTTGTATATGCAAAATGAGCATTTTATGCATATTTTATTCTCTCTCAAGTTTGTGTGGAATACAAAGTGACTGTCATAATAAGATTTCTGGTTCACTAACATGGCTATTTTGTTTCTTTACATATAAAGACTAGGAAAAAAGCCTTTCAAATATACAAATTTATTCCAAAAGCTTTTATTATGTGTATATGTACAGATAAAAAATACAGATTTGTTTGTATCATGATTTTTGTTTTTTGTTTCATTTATTTCTTCTTTGCCAAATATTATGCCAGAACTATGTGATTTATAAGGGTTGCTTAGAACATATTGGCCTTTTAGCATTTAATTTTTGGAAATATGCAATGCTACATGTAAAGAGTAAAGCATTATTAGTTTTTCACTTAAGATTCCTATTTATTATCCCAATAAATGCACAAAAGTTAGTTTTTACAGCCTACGTAACTAATTTCTTCTCTTAATCTTGAGTGTGTTTGTGTCATCCCTAGAGATCTTAACTGTCATTAGTGCTTTTAATGATCCTCACTTCCTAGTCAGTTCCTAACAGCCATGTTGGTATCATCTTGAAGATAGAATGGTTACCCAGTATTCACTCCCAAGTTGCTAACTGTTGTCTTAATTCTTACCTCTCATTCTCTGCACCTTCCTTGTGGATTTTGTTTTTATTTGTTTGGCAACTCTACAGAATCTGATTTTTTTTTCTAGTTTCTGCATTAATATTCCTTTGAAGTCTCAATCTTATTTCCACTGGTTGAACTTTTATTTAGTCCTCCCCCCTCCCCCCCTTAGGATACAATTATTTCCTAACTCTTGGCATTGCAAAACCTTTCACTTGTTAGGTTCCTCAGTCCTTTCTTCCATCTTTTCTCCTTGAGATTCACCACAATCGGATAGTGGGTCTCAAGCTGATTATGGAAAAACCCAGATATTTTGCTGCTCATATAGCCTTGCAGCGTTGAGTTTCTTGCATGAAAAAACTATTTGCACTTTGTGCTTTACTTTTATGTTCTGATGCTAAATCTAATTCTCATTTTACATACATACCTCTTCAACTTTTCAGCATTTATTGAAATCTTGCTCTAATGCTAAGAGAGACCTTTTTAAGTTGTTTTGGGATTTCTCTCTCTTTCCCCTTCCCCTTGTATTCACACAGTAACCCATGTAACTAAGTAATGTTAGACAACCTATTCAGCAGTGCAAAGTGAAGTTCTAGTGCCTTGTGGTTCACCATAAAATGTTAAGACTTTCTGGGACTTTGTTAATACAATCCAATTCATAACCTTCTCCAAATTGACGGCAGGGATTCCTTTCCTTCTATCTTTTTTTTGTTGTTGCTGTCAACTGGAGTGGCTGTGTTCCATCATTTAGAGGGATTCTCTGCATTTAACTTTAGTCTTTATCTCACAATACTGGGCCTTAATAATCTGTTTTGAAAATGATATGTACATGCAGGCATCTTCTTTGTCCCATACTTCAGCTCTGGCTCTATGATACTGCTTGATTTTCCAAGTTGTATTTAAAAGCATCTTTTGAAGCAACAATCAGTGCTGATACCAGGCACTTCAGTGATTTGACACTATGCTGCAGTATATTCAGTGGCGTATTCAATCTGTTTTTCAGCTTACTTATCACTGTTTTTTCCTAAAAACTTTTGGTGCTCATAAACTGCAACACATCCAAAACTTCTCAAAATACATCTAAACAGAGAAAGTACTACTTTGCAGGAGGATGAGGCAAAAATGTCATGTCAGTCAGCAGCAAAGTAGGAGCCATTAAACTAAAGGCGGATGGAAAATCCTGCTTAACCATAGTATTTTTTTGGTTTTTTGGGCTGATCTCCTGTATGACCACCCAAATGTGATGCTGAGATATTGCTGATATCCTGCTTTCCCCATTAGCATAACTATCAAACTGCTCATTGTAGAAGTATAGTGATTCTGTGTAATCAATAAGAAAAAATATTTTCTTTACATTGCCAGATAGCAATAAGACTGGACTTCTTCGGTGAAAGAGTCTTGTGTCTTTGTTGGCATGTAGATCTTATATTTCTTGGTTTCTCTTTAACTTCCACCTCATCTGAAAAAGTTATTGCAAGGTAATATTAAGGCTCCTAGAGTTACACGTGGAAATCTGTTGTTGCGGAGTGATAGTCCACCTGCTGTGTTCTTCTGTTACCTACTTTTCTCTGGGTTCTGGTATGTTTCTTTTTAAAATCAGCTAATGTACTGATTGCTAGAAGTATGAAAAACCAAAACATTTGCATTAGTAGACCAAATGCTACAAATCTAACTCTGATAAATTACACAAGGTAAATAAAAGGGCTACTGAGTATTGTTTTTTTTAAAGACCCTGTTAACAGTTATCATTGTATTTGTCTTGCAAAAATAATAGGTCTTCATAATTTTGCTTAGCTCTTATACTAGATGTATAAAAACCTCTATCTGACTGTTTTAATAAAAATATTATATTTTATATTATTTAAGATTTCCTTTAATGGTCATCTCCAGCATAAGGTTTTGAAAATGTACCCTCATGTTTCCTTAAATGTAGCAGTGGTCACTTAATGAAAATGTTATATTCCTGATTAAAAGAAAACCCACCAAAAAGCCTTTGTAGAAATAACAATTGCTCGTTTTTCTATTAAAAATGTAAAGTTATAAAAGCAAACTGAAACGCATGAACTGTTAAGGGGCTTCATGACTCAATTAATAGTCTGTTGTGTGGAAAAATAAAATAAAGTGAAGATAATAATTTAAACCTAAAGTGTTAATTTTTTTCTCTACTTTTTAGGATTATTGTTTTCTCATTAATTGCTACCTGTTTTCTTTCCAGCATAAGAGTTTACTTGGTCACTTCATTATGAAGATCATTTATTTTCTCCTTTTCCCTCCTGTCATCCCTAGATAATAATTTGGGAGGTTTTGCTCCTGGAATTCCAGGTAGCATTTTCGCTGGTGGTTATAATTGCTGTTTTCCTATAATGTAAGGGAAGGCATCCCCTCCCCTCCTCTTCCTTCCCCTCCCATCTCCACAAATTGTAATCTCATTTTTGTGCTTCTAGATTCCAACTAGCATTAAGTTCATAGGAACTTTTCTCCTCTCCCCTCTACTTAAATAATAGTTGTTATAAAATAAAGTCTATAATTTTTGTTGTAGTCTCTTCCTGAATCCCACAGGACAGTTTTACCTTGAGCATTATCTCTCTCCTCAGCATGAAACAAGGAGGTAAAGAATTTACAATCAAGATAAGTATAATGATGCTTTTTCCACACTGTTGCTTTGTGAGGCATGGAATCCATTCATCAGCTAATTTTGAGTTTTGGACTGTCCAGTATAGGAAGACTGCAGAAAGGAGAGGGAAAAAGAAATCAGTCTAAGTCTCCAGCTGCATTATTTCTGTGACATAAATACTTCTTTTGGGGCTGGGTAACAGTCTTAATTCAAGGTGGTCTTGCTTCCCGCTTTCTGTCCCCTTCCTCACAGACCTGTAGGCACTTTCACAAGTTCTGACCCTTTTTTAAAGAAGACTGTATCTTTGGCCTTTCCCCCCAATAGTTTGTAATGCCAGGTAAATTAAAAATCTTAGGCCCTTTTCCAGCAGCTTTCCTTTGCTGGAGTAATGAACCGAGGTGTGCTTCCAGCTGCCTCTTCTACTTACATTCAATCATGCAGTACTGTCTTGGCTGGAGAAAATTGTTGTTGCAGGTTGTGGAAGTCAGTCTTTCTGGGGCTCAGGGTACCCCTTCAAAGATCTTGATTTATATCAACTATGGATTCCTTGAAGTATCTGATGTTCTTAGAACACTAGAATTGGAAGGGACCTGAGAGGTCATAGAGTCCAGTCCCTTGCCTTCATGGCAGGGCTCCGTACCATCTAGACCATCCCAGATAGATGTCTATCTAACCTGCTCTTAAATATCTCCAGAGATGGAGATTCCACAACTTCCCTAGGCAACTTATTCCAGTGTTTAACCACGCGGATGGGAAGTTTTTCCTAATGTCCAACATAAACCTCCCTTGTTGCAGTTTAAGCCCATTGCTTCTTGTCCTATCCTCAGAGGCCAAGGAGAACAATTTTTCTTCCTCCTCCTTGTGACACCCTTTTAGATACCTAAAAACCGCTATCATTTCCCATTTTCATTGTTGTTTTATCATCTAACTACAGATGGGTTCTTGCTTATCACTTGCTTTAGCCACTTAATAATGGGGCTGCCAAGTAAGATTCTTCTAACATAGTATTTCTCAAAGCAGGGGAGGAAGCGAGGGGCACAACCCAAAAGAGGTCACAAAAGACTATTATAGATAAGTTATGACAGCGGCAGATGCTGGCCAAGTGTGAAGGCAGCACTGCCACCAGCAGCAGCACAGGAGTAAGGGTGGCAAGGTATGGAGGAGCCTGAAATATTTTCAAAGGGGATCCCAGCAAAATATTTGGAGGATTCTTAATGCAATCTAATATACTGATCTAAAGATTGCCCTAGGAGAACTACCCATCTCTACCTGCATCCATTAGAAATTCTGCTTTTTATACCTGCTTCCGATAGGCTTCAAGAACGTCTTTTTCACCATTAGGAAAACCTCCAAGTTGATAGTTTGATTTACTTTGTGTTGAATGACTGAGGATTCGCTTGCACAAGATTTCCACGATCTCCTCTTTCCTTTCCCTCATTTTCCCCAGCACTCTCACATTGGATATGTCTAGATTACATGCCTCTGCCGACAGAGGAATG